TATATATATATAAATCCCACTATGTGCCCTAATAACTCTAGACCAGTAGGTGGCGGAAGTGCACCAATAGGTGGCGGAAGGTTGGTTTAAACAAAACACCAGAAGAAGACAACGAACTGAACTTCACAGTCAGATTGTGTTTGAAATGTGGCCGCAAGATTAGGTAAGTTTTTGGGGATCTACTTATAAACTATATTGTCACAGTGTGTGCTATCGTTTTTGAGGAAAAGAAAAGGCAGATTTTTTTGGCAGCAAAGAGGAGGAGACGCAAACTTTTCAATGAAGATATGACGTATTGGAGGTAGATGATGATATGGAGTTGATAAAACGATACAAACTTGATAGTCAAGATCGTCTTCAATTCTTTTTGTAACTGACCAAGTAAGAAATTTAATAACTTCTTCCACTCTACAAATCAATGCTCTAACTGCAGAAATCAAAGTAGTAACATTTTTTTTTGCTGGAAAACTGGAAAAATGCAGCAATGCACCGGTGATGACACAGGGTCTTAAATATTGTGGCACTAATCCCACCAAACACAACAGTGGCCAAAAGTGATGTGTGGAGGTTTTTTTTAATGACCCCAAATATCACTTAAACCATTCAAATATGAGAGAAATAAAACACTGACCAGTGTTGCCAACTGCTTTCAACTGAAAGTAGCTAAAACTGGTAGCTAAATGTCACTAGATGACATCATAATGGCAAATTGAGGCAATCAGTTTCCACAGGTTTTCCAAGTAAGTTCAACTCATTACTTTTTACAGTGTAGTGACAAAATCACTAAATTGACAACATTGATATTTACTACAATATCATCAGTTATTGATATATTGTTGGTCCTCTTGTTTTAGCATGTGTTCATAATTTCTTTGTATGACCGCACAATTTGGTATGTTTCATTGCATTATTATCACAAATTAAACAATTGACTCTGAGCAACTATGCAACATGCTTACAAAATCTTTAACACATTTTTTTTTTTTAAATAAGGGTGAAGATGTCAAATTTCCTAGGCCGGACATCAATTTTGGCCACCTTTTACTAAGAATTCTTGACACTTAAGTCAAAGCTTAAGACTATTCTTAAGAGCATTTCTTGAGAAGTTTTATACATACGGGCCCTGATGCTACTTTGGCTTTGTCACTCTCTCCTGCTCTCTCATCCTCTTCCTAAAGCTATTACGAAATGCTAAGCTATGTGGATCGGCTATTTTTCCTTGTACTGTCTCACTCGCGCTTTCTTTTCATCCTTCTCTGATCCAGTTTCACCATGTCTGATGTAGAGGAGGAATATGAGTGAGTAATGTTTCTTTTTTTTTCTATCATTACTGATTATTGGGCTAATAAATCATTGCATTTACTGTAGGGATGTGCAATTAATCGCATGCGATTGTTATGCGCATCTCGTCAGTAAAGCCGGTAAAGATTCATAATCGCAGATGAATCGCATTCGATTACGAACACGATATTGCCTAGCTTGTCAGTGAACTACGACTCTGTGTAGTAAATGCTGCTCCATCTGAAAGCAGGTGATGGCGATTTACTACTAATCACGGGACCGGCTTTACTGACGAGATCCGCATGACAATCGCATGCGATCTGATGTTTACTCATTAATTTTCCTTTCTTTTTCTAAATGGCCTGTTAGGGAACAAGCAGAGGGTGAGTAGAATTGTTCTTTATTTTTTGCCTGTATATTTTACTCTGTATTTTGTTCTTTATTTTCTTGCCATTTGAAACGTTAGCTTTAGCGATTATCAGTAAATCCTTGGCATAATGTGTACCCAGAGGCCAGTTATAGATGCCTTTAGAGACCCTCCTGAGCTTCAGCTGGCTTCATAGAGCTATGCATGAGTCTGATTGGGTGCTTAGGCTTGGCACAATGCCTTTTCCTGGAAGGGTTATTCTTACAGACTGATCTCATGTTGCAGTTGGCATACATCCGTAACAAATGGTGTACACTTACATAATCCTTTGCACACACTTATTTATATACACGCTCATATTCTTTCCTGATTGTCCTGAATTGATGTTTACTTATGTTTTCCTTTCCTTCATCATCTTGTGGCTTGTGTACTTGTGAGAAGCAGAGGAGGAAGAGGATCCAGAGGATGCAGGAGCAGGTAAAATAATGCCTCCTCAAGAGTTCAAAACAATGTCTCTTTAAAGTTGATGAGAAAATAATAGGCCATACAAAAATAAATACTACAAATTATGAGAGAGTATGTAATGCAGTTATTTTACTCAAGCAATACTGATCGAGAGCAACACCAGCCGAGAAAGTGAGGGAGTAGCTGTAAAATTCAGCACAAAGTCACATAACAAGAAGTGGAGCCTCAATCACACGCTGACTGACTTATCACACTGTTTGACATTATTTCCTCCGATTATGTTCATAACTGGTACACGAAAAACGTATAGAGTTCAAAAATTGGGTTCTAAGCTATGGGGTGGTGAATATGCTTCTGTTGAAGCCATGAGCCTGCATTATTTTAACTTAATTTTAAATCTTGCTTAACAGTAAATGAATTTGCAATAATTCAGTAATTAAATCAATCATTTTACATATATCCGTTTTTATTTCGATTATGTCATAGACAGATCTTTGTCTTTTTATTCGGATTTTTTAAATTTTAAGTTTGTAATGTTGTGATTCACCTCGTAACTGTTTTGTTTGGTTCCTGGCTTATAACGCTTTAATAAAGACTTAAAAAGGGGAAAAAAAATCCTTATGGGAAAAATATTTCTGGGAAACAAGACCACTAAATGAAACAACTCGCCAACGTCAGGCAGCATTACTTGTGGTCACATCTGTATCAAAATGAACTTGAAATAATCTGTAAAATTAAAGCTGCACCTCTGCATCTGCAATCATCATTTGTGATGTACTGAAGCTTCATGGTCTACAAAGGCATCTGAAAATAAGCAACAGTTCTCTAGTTCATATTTTCATGTAATTCTCAAGTGAGATGAAAGTAAACATATTTGGCTTGATGTTTATGTTAGACAAAGTACTTGAGGATTTGTAATACATAATACAAGAGGAATAGAAATAGAAGAGAAGTGGATCGCTGAAGTAAGTAATGATTGGCAAAATTTTATAAACTTTCTACAATATTTTTGAGGAATGTAATAATGTTAAGAAAATTGATAACCTTTGATTTGGTTTCAATAATAGTATGGTAATAAAGTACACTGGTGTCATATTGATACAGTAAATGATGTTACAGTGCTGCTTGAAATTTTGTGAACCCATTAGAATTTTCTATATTTCTGTATAAATATAACCCAAAACATTATCAGATTTGTCCTGAAAGTACAAAAGGAATCCAATCAAACAAAGGATACTTTATCATTTATTTATTGAGAAAAATGATCCAGTGTTGCATGAGTGGCAAAATTATGTGAATCTTTGCTTTCAGTATCTGGTGTGACCCACTTTTGCAGCAATAACTGCAACTAAATGTTTCTTGTAACTGCTGATCAGTCCTGCACAACCGCTTGTAGGAATTTTAGCAGTACAGAACTGCTTCAGCTCTGTGATATTGTTGGTGGGTTTCCTCCAATGAACTGCTTGCTTCAGGTCCTTCCACAACATTTCAATTGGATTAAGGTCCAGACTTTGACTCAGTCATTTCAAAACATTAACTTGGTTCTTCTTTAACCGTTCTTTGGTAGAACGACTTGTGTGCTTGGGGTCGTTGTCTTGCTGCATGACCCACTTTCTCTTGAGATTCAGTTCATGGACAGATGTCCTGACATTTTCCTAAAGAATTTGCTGGTATAATTCAGAATTCATTGTTCCATCAATGATCACAAGCCGTCCTTTCCCAGATGGAGCAAAACAGGCCCAAACCATGATACTATCACCATCCATCCACAAAACATTTCTCCAATAGCCCTCTGGCTTGTCCACATGATCTTTTAGGAGAGCAGTGGCTTTCTCTTCACAACTCTGCCGTGCACACCATGGTTGTTCAGTGTTCTCCTGATGGTGGACTCATGAACATTATAATTAGCCAATGTGAGAAAGGCCTTTAGTTGCTTAGAAATTATGCTGGGGTCCTTTGCAACCTCGCAGACTATTATATATGTCTTGCTTTTGGAGTGATGTTTGTTGGTCGGCCACTCCTGGGGAGGGTAACAGTGGTCTTGAATTTGTACACAATCTCTCTGACTGTGGATTGGTGGAGTTCAAACTCTTTAGAGATGGCTTTGTAACTTTTTCTACCCTGATGAGCAACAGCAACTCTTTTCTGAGATCCTCAGGGATCTCCTTTGTTTGTGCCATGATTCACTTAATCAGACTGTGATAGATCCCTGTTCTCAAAATAAAACAGGGCGCACACTGACACCTGATAGTCATCCCACTGACTGAAAACACCTCTGAACAGAAAGACTCTAACTTCACCTTCAAATGAACTGCTAATCCTAGAGATCCACTCACAGATATTTAATATTAGATCATTTTCCTGAATAAATAAATGATAAAGTATATATTTCGTCTCATTTGTTTGAGTGGATTCTCAGGACTTGCATGAAAATCTGATGATTTTTTTGGGGTTACATTTATGCAGAATATAGAAAATTCCAATAGGTTCACAGACTTTCAAACACCACTGTACGTGATCCTTGTAATAAGCCACTATATATATATATATATATATATATATAAAAGTTTAATTCACA